AGAGCATTCGCCAAGGAACGGAATAGTTCTAGAAACTAGAGGGCGTGAGAATAGTCACGTGATCTCGATGACGCAACATTATATTCATACCTAACTGATACTTAAATAATTTAATTTGTAATTAATACTTTAACAGTTTAACAATAATATATTAAATAGGGTCCTAATTTTAGAAAGGTGGTAAAAATTGTTCCTTTATTAATTCACAAAATGAATGCAATTAATATTAAAATAATTGTCTGATTTTTCATCACTGCATTCTTTCATTTTTTATGTTTTAGGAAAGAGGAATGGAGAATAAGAAATACAAGCATTCATCTACAGTCAGCCAGTATCAATCTGATGCAGGCTTTGATGCTGGTATCATCTTCGTGAGCATCCATTGCTTTGTTGAGAACTGATGAAATATTTACCACTTTGCTGGATGAAGTTAAGCTGATTCTGCAAAATACTGCAGATGATGTTAACAGTGTAACAGTACAATACCATCAGCCTGCAGAAAAGAGAAAATGCCGTGAAAACTCTGGTTTCAAAGACTACATTGTTGACCATTTGCACAGAGATAACACCAATTTGTCAGAAAATGATCGTGGTTCTGTCTAATTGACAGTATCCTGTTTGAGCTTGATGAACGTTTCTTTGAGAAAAATTCGCATCTTATTCATGCCATGGAGTCACTATATCCTGAATCAGAAAATTTCTTTGACAAAGACTGAATGGGATTTCTCGCAGACTTGACCGGCCTTGAAATGGACAGCTTTGTTTTGGCTCAAATTGATGTTGCCAAAAAATACATCAGTGACCATTGGAGGAAAACAACAAACATAACCTGGTGTCTTGTTTGCAACAGCTTTTCCATTTGAAATCGAAGGGCTTTCCACCCATTACAGAAATGTATGAGGCAGCATTAACAATTGGATCCTCAACTACAACATGTGAAAGAGTTTTTTTTTTTTTTGCTCTGACAAATGTGCTTACAAACCTCCATCAGTCGATTTCTCATGAAAGACTGGCGAACTTGATCCTCATCGGGTTTGAGAAGTGCATCTTTGATGATATATGTCAGAGTGTTGATGGGAAGCATAAGACACTGAGATACTTCAATTCTATT